CTCCTTGAGGGTAGGATTTGATGGTTGTGCTGAAAAATTATCAGCTTGAGCACTTTTCTAGATTTATTGAGGTAGTCAGTCCGGCACTGGCGTCCTCCTAGAAGCTCACCAACCATCCATTCACCCTCCTCCTTTATCCGGGCTTGGGACCGGCACTGTGACATATCAAGATACATCACAGAGGCGGAGTTAGCAGCTGTAATTAGACAGACTTAAAACTTGATGATAATGTTAGGGATGAATGTCTGTGTAAAAGTCTATTTTTGAAAAGCCATTCACACATCTAGGTAGCACCATGGTAGAAGATTTATTATAGCCTGTTCAGACTCCTGACTAGCTTCTTATGTTTCAAATAAATTGCACACTGGATTGTTAGTGCAAATAAATTCTTGGAACTCCTTTGCAAAATTAAAATAATTAATGCTTTCAGTCCCTTCAGCCAGATTCCCTAAAATACATAACACAAGTAAGAGACAGTTTTATTTTCTTTTTCTTTCTTTCCCTTCAACCCCCCTCCCCTCCCCCCCCCACACACACTTATTCTTTCATATTCAGCAGAAGTAATTTCCACTAGACTGTGCTGAGGTCTTACAGGTAATCTTGTACTAAATCTCTTTATTCATTAGGACTGGAGAAATGTTACAGTGAACACAGGTTTCTGTCTCAGGCAGTTTCAGTGTTTATTATATCATCTTTTCTGTCACAAATACCATAGTTTCAGAATCTGAAACTTGCAGGTGAATAATACATTAATAGGTGAAACTCAGTTTTTTAAGTGTTACACTATAATCCAACAATGCATCACTTCCTTAATAGGAATTCTTTAAATTTACATTTCCCACTCATCAATCAGTTCTGCAACTTAAACTTATTATCAGTTATAGCAGTAAGGAGGTTCTTCTCCTTGGTTGTTAAATACACTATAGACGTATGACTGACTTGTAACCCAAGAAATTATTGAGTCGTAATAAATAAAATGGTTTGGCTGAAACTCTTTATTATTTGTGTTTCATCTTTATACATATACTGTTTGTACTTTCTGAGAGCAGAACCTGAGAAGATATGATGTTGGTAATATTCAACCCCAAAATAACTTTTTTCTTTAAAATGTGTTACGTATGTTATGTGGCAGCAACAACAAAAATTCAATTTCATAGCTCAGTGAATGAAGTAGAATGGCCCAGTGAAAGAAGAATATTATTTCATGATGTCGACTAAAGTAAAATGAATGTATGATTTCAGTTGAATATCACAGCATTAGGGCTAAACATTGTTTGCATGAGCAAATGCTTCATGTTACATATTCTTTAGAACATTAACTGTTGTTTCTTTTGTTGGGGGGGGGGATCAATGCCACTTTCTAAAATGGAAGTAACAATAGAGCAATAACCTAGAACATTTTTTGCTGGGTTAAATGCGTATATGTCCACACCTGATTTCACATTAGTTGCTTGCTGTACCTGTTGAAAATTTTGTATGTAAATTGTGTTGCATCAAACTATTTTCTGGATTGATAGAAAAAAGTATTGTCACATGATTTGGATTACAGAGGATCCGGAAGCTTATAGGAAACAGCAAAGTAAGAGACAATGATGCAGGAAGACTTGTCATGTTGTATGCGCTGCATTATGAAAAACACACAAACAATGATATTGTCGGTTTGGTTGATGCACTGAAGCAAAGAGGTGTGCCAGAACGTTTTACAAAAGTAAGTAGAACATTGATTATATATTCCATGCTTTTTGATTTTCAGTTCCTCCCCACAAGCAAACTTAAATAGTAGTCATGAAAAGAAAAGTTTTTTTATTATTTTTCCTTTCAAACTGGGGGAGTAAAAAAGTAAAATTCGATAAGAGATGCATGAGATAATCATATTTTACAGTGAAAATCACTTTTGGAAGCATAACAATCTTCAATTTTAATTTTATTTTCCATAATGATTTCATTTCAGTTGATATACAGCGTAATGGAATATGGTGGTACACATGCCAGACAAAGTGATTTATTTGGAACTCAGGATGCTGTTGTGAAGATTACAAAAACATTCTTCAAGGTGAGCATGCTCTTGAAAAGTCTGGCTTTACTCTC